TCTTTCCTCCCACCACCCAATTCGTGGGTTTTCCCTAAATATTTCTAACCGCTGTCTATGTGTCCCTTGCTGCGACTTAAAATGTTTTACAACTCAATTATCCTGGCTGTAAAGCGGGCACAGGGCTTCCTCCCAATCTACCTGACAGAGCTGCTGAGCAAAGGAGAGAGGGCAGAGGGTTTAGAAAAACATTTGTGGGGGCGCCTGGGTGGCTCCATCAGTTAAGCGTCCAACTTTGGCTCAGGTCACGATCTCACGATTTGTGAGTTCGAGCCCCGCATCGGGCTCTCTGCTGCCAGCGCGGAGCCCGTGTCAGATCCTCTCTCTCTCGGTCCCTCCCCACCCTCGCACGTGCACGCATGCACACGTGCTCTCTCTCAAAAATAAACGCTAAGAAAAAAAAGAAAATTAAAAACAAAGAAATACTTTGTGAAGTGCAGGGCCCCCTGCAGATGTTCCTTGTGATTCTTAGTATCTTGGGAGGAAAGGAGATCCGAGCTGTGAGTTGAATTGTGTCCCCCCCCCACAAAATATATAATCAACTCCTAACCCCCAGTACCTGTGAACGTGACCTTATTTGGAAACTGAGTCTTTGTGGATGAGGTCCTACTACATTAGGGTGCGTAACTGGTGTCCTCAAAAGAGGAGGGAAATCGGGACTCAGAGACAGAGAGAAGAATGCCTTATGACAAGGGGGACGGTCACAGGAGTGATGCCAAGCCAGGGAACGGCCAGGACGGCCGGCAACCGTCAGAAGCCAGAGAAAGACGGGACGGATTCTTCCCTAGAGCCTTCAGAGGGAGCACAGCCCTGCTGACTTTCATGCTCAGCTTGTAGCTTCCGGAACGTTGAGACGGTGCGTTTCTGAGTGAGCCTCCAAGGTCGTGGCTGTTATGGTGGCCCGAGGAAACTCGTATGAGTACGACGAACCTCTTACCGGTGAAGCCCCCAGAGCTACCCTCCGTCGGTTTACTCCGGCCAGGCCCCCTCCTGGCAGGGTTCCCCATCATGCCAGCCCCCGGACCACGACGAACACAAGGTAGTGTGCCACACCAGGACCTCAGCACGGCAGATGCCGGGGGCACAGCTGCTGACGTCAAAAGGCACCGTGCCAGGGCTCTGTGATTGAGCCAGGCCTTCCTCGCTGGTGGCCTTTGTTTGCTTGAGAAGGAGCGGGATGGAAAAGAGCCCATTTGAAAATGGGGCTGGGCTTCTGCATGACGCTTAGAGCTCATCAAGCCCTAATAAAAGTGAAAAATTACCTCTGGTGTCCCCAGAGCCAGAATTCATCTGTTATTAATGAAACCCACCCCAAAATAGGGCTCAGAGAAATGAGCCTCAGACAGATTTTTTTTTTTTTTAAACAGTGAAAGAGAGTGTCCACCCATGACCTCTGGGCTCATATCGGGAGGTGTGCTTATCCACCTTCTTGCCTATACCATTCCATCCCTCTGTCTGAGAAGGTCGCTCCCCAGGCCCAGATCTAACCCAGCTCAAATGCTGCCTCCTCCTCCATGAAGCTTTCCAGGATGTAGTCCAACCAGGGCCAGCTTCCTAGATCTGTGACCTGTGCCGTCACACAGCCCCCTGAGCTCTCAAGGACCCACGGTTGAGTTAATGCCCTGCTGTCACGGTCTTGAAACTCCTAATTATTTTCAAACAAGCGGCCTTAGATTTCCATTTTGCACTGGGTCCCACAAATTCCGTGGCTGGTCCGAAGTCCTACCTTCTCCAGCCAACCAGGCAGAGCAATCTCTCCTCCCTCTGGACCCTCGAGATACCCACCGACCCATAAATCTCGCCATTATTCACTCAAGGAATAGCATCAAGCACCAGCTGGGCAACGTGACTCAGCAGCCAAGAGGGCAATTCCAGCCCCCTGTCACACTCCAGGGTGAGGCAGACAAATCGAACACAAGAAGGGCAGGGGCGCCTTGGTGGCTCAGTCGATTAAACATCCGACTTCAGCTCAGGTCATGAATGATCTCAGGTCCGTGAGTTCGAGCCCAGCATCGGGCTCTGTGCTGACAGCTCAGAGCCTGGAACCTGTTTCAGATTCTGTGTCTCCCTCTCTCTCTGCCCCTCCCCCACTCATACTCTGT